CTGTATGTTGGTGGTTGAAAGAAAAATAAAGCTCTCGCGAACTCATCCAGAAGTGAAGTTATATTTGGGCTAACAGCTGTTTCCGAACCTCTGCCCTAATCCCTATATAGGGCACTATATAGTGGTTACGGCATTTTATGGGGGAGTGGCGGCCTAGTGGTTAGAGCATAGGGCTTTGAATCCTGAGGTTGTGAGTTTGATCCCCCACTCCCACAGACTGCCACTCTGGGTCCCTGAGCAAGACAATGGCAGCCCACTGCTCCCTAAGGGGAGGGGTTAAATGCAGAGAAGTAATTTCCCTCTGGGATTATTAGAGTATATATTATTAGAGTACAAAAAAAACAAAAAGAAATATAGAATAGTGTCGAACATCTAGAGAATGAAAAAGTAGTGGACTATGAATGCACAATAAAAAGTGATCATCAGATATATCATCAGCGAGCAGATATATCCCAGATTGCTTTGCAAGAGCTCTTGTCACAAAACATCATGGGATTAGTTGTAACACCGACGACAAATAAACAGGTACCGCGCATGGAGGCAGAGTCACGTGACCAACGGCGAGAAAAAAGTAGCGATCACCTGTCCAAGTGGTCAGTTAACTGTGTTCACTATAATGTCCACTGTTTAGCTCTATGGAGGGATTTAGGAGTTAGGGCGGACATTCGGACACAACCAAACAACCCTGAAATCAACTGTTGATGTTGGTGTTAGCTCATGCTTCTTAAGGAAGAGACGGTGCCTTGTTAGCCCACACCTGACCATCTGTAGCAATTAGGGCTTAAAAAAAAGAAGCTCCGCCCCTCTGTGTTTTAGGGAATCATAGAGGACCATTTATGATTCAGGTTTCCACAGTGCAGAGATCTTAATTCCAGCGGTTCAGTGTTCATACATGCTAGCTGCTGCGTTCCTTAAACACTCTACCACATGTCTGGGTTCAGTCTGAACACATGCATGTTTTATCATCAGTTTCAGTGCCTTTTTGTGAAAGCACCACCAGAGCAGCAGGACCACAGATTCTAGGTCACTTAGGAGACGCTCTGGTTCTGCTGCTGCTTTGGTTCAGCTAGTCTGGCTGAACCGAAGCTCATCCACCGAAAGCTCATCTCTAAACCTGATAAGTGACCCAGAGGAAATGTGGCAAGAGAAGAGGTTCATCCTTCAGGACCAAAACTGACACCTACTTGGATGCTTTGGCTCCACGGCAACTCGTACAATAGGAGTAGCTTCAAAGTTGAGTGGGATGAAGGGGGGGCAGGCCGGGGAGGCTGACAGGGTGGCCGACTTTAAGACGTACTCCTCTAGACCTCCAATACCTGGAAGAAGAAGATCAGAGGAAGAGAAATAGCCATCAGAAACCGATCTCATCAACAATCTTGCCTGTGTTCTGTCAGTTCAGCATACACCGTCAAAGTAGCATACACGTAGCACAAAACCCTGCGGTTTCTTCGTACAATATGAGCGGTAGCTGCATGCAACGATTGAAAAAAACAACGATTGAAACATACACATAGTGTATGCCCGGCTCTTTCCAGGTCATCGACCAGCTCCTCCCGTGTAGTCCTTGGCTGATTTTTTCACTTTCTTAAGATCATTGAGACCCCACCAGGTGAGATCATGCATGAGGGAGATTGACAGTCATCTTTAGCTTCTTCCATTTCCTCATCATTGCTCCAACAGTGGACCTTTTTTCACTCAGCTGCTTGGTAATTTCCCCGTAGACCTTTCCAGCCTTCTGGAGATCTACAATTTTGCCTCTAGTGTCTTTGGACAGCTATTTGCCCTTATTAGTAGTTGGATTCTTACTGATTGTATGGGGTTGACAGGTGTCTTTATTCAGCTAAAGACTTCGAAAAGGTGCATCTAATTTAGGAGAATAAATGGAGAGGAGGTGGACATATTGAAGGCAGATTAAAAGGTTTTTGAGGGTGAGAATTCTAGTTGACAGACAGCTGGTCAAATACTTATTTGCAGCTGGATCATACAAATAAATAGTTAAAAGAATCATATATTGTAATTTCTGGATTTGTTTTTTAGATTGCGTCTCTCACAGTGGACATGCACCTACAATGACAATTTCAGATCCGCAATGATTTCTAAGTGGGACAACTTGCAAAATTGAGTTGAAATACTTATTTTCCTCATTGTGTTTGACCCAGACATGACTGACATTGGCTTCCGACTTTAACATAGTTGATGTTTTATCAAATGCAGCCCGAATTAAAGCAAGAAGGAAGAACAGCAAGAAGTTACCCAAAACGTTCCCAGCAGGGATCTCTTCTAACTCTTCCAGCTCTCGACCCATGAGCAGATAAAGCTTCTCCAGGGTACAACAGGACAGGTGGGGCACCTCCACCAAGCAGTCAGATGCACTGCTACCATCTGGAAGCTAGAATGAAGAAATAAAAGCGTTAGAAATATTGACGATTTGCTCCTGACCGCTGTTTCTCTGATGGACTTCCTCTGGGCTGGGAACAGTCATGTCTATTAGACCTATCCTTCCCCATAGCAGCCTGTCTGATGGGTGGAGGCCACATCCACTCGTTAATGTACGAAGGACCATCTCTAACTGTTCTAGCTCTAGACCTGATCCCTTTCAGATTTTGGACCTATTGGGTGTTTATCTAGGGTTGATACAGGCATCAGTCCAATGACATTATGAGCGTCAACAAAGCGTAAAAGCAGAAATCTGAACGCTGGATCAAACTGTGGTCCATTTTGCTTTGATGCGTCAACACTGGATGTTTATCTGCTCTGCTCTGTAGCTTCAAACTAAAGAAAAGCTGGGCTTTATTTACTTTATTACCATATTTTCACGACTATAAGGCGCATATAAACATCTTTTTTTTCCCTCAAAATGTGCGGCACACCCTATGTGTGTTGTTACCACGGACATTGTTGAGATCACCATGAGAACGTTAAAGGGGGAAGTGTGGGCGTGGATTGTGTATAAAAGAACAGGTATGTGCTTTATGCAGAACTCCTCATCTCCTCATTGAGGAGATGATGAAAAAGTGGCTGAGGCAGGTGTATGTGAGGAGACCAGGTGGTTTTTTTCCCCCATCGCTGTTAATCTGTGACTCCATGCGTGCCCATCTCACAGCCGATGTGAAAAACATGGTAAAACAAATTA